GAGAGAGAGAGAGAGCTGTAATCTATAGAGTTTGTTAGTCTGAGTCTTTTCTTTCTCTCATCTGCCATGCTGCAGAAGGTGTGATACAGGTTACTCCATCATTTACAGCAATCCAAGTTTCTGTGGTTGCAACACTGACATGCTTCAGCTTGGTACTCTGCTTGTAAATGCTCCTTAAAAATGAAGCCAAAGCATCCACGGCTCAGCTGAGGTTGTCCAGCAGCCTGGACCCAAGGATCAGCCAGGAATCATCCAAGGATACTGTTGTGGGTTCTGGTCAGAGAGATAAGAGTGTTTGTGTTCCTATGAATCCTGGAGTGTGTGGCTCTGAAAAGCTTCCCAAGTGATCCTGATAGATACAGAGGGCCGAGACCCTCTTTTAAAGCATTGTGTTCTTTACCCCAGGACAGGCAGAACAGGATAATGGTTAAATGGACTCTGATCCAAACTTCCCCGGATTGCCTGACTTTACCTTTCATGAGCTATGTGGTCTGAGTAAGTCATTTACACCTCATTAGTTATCAATTTTTCTTCCATAGAATAGAAGCACAGAGGTGTGAGGCTAAGCAAGCGAGGAGGTAGGAAACAGGACTGTCCCAGGCACACAGGACAGATATAGAAGTGATTGTTATCATTAAAATCCCAGAAAGGAGTTGGAACATGCAAGCTGGTAGTCAAACAACTACTAGGTATACTCTATGGTCTTTTATTATAAACTCAACACACGCTGTCCCAAATGGCAAATGAATGCCTCTACCATGGATTCTAGTTCAAAACTGCAACTTTCTATTGTTGTGTCTTATCTGCCCTTTTGGCTCTGGTGAGTTGTCAGCCTGCCATTTGGATTTCTGACCCCAGGGATTGCCAAGAGGACCATGCCCTGCATTCATCATGGCTCTTTCTGAGAAGTTGGCCTTTGCCATGATATGACGGGTGTGTCAGTAGTGTGGAGTGTACACACACTGTGCTATTCCTGAGTGCAACTTCACAGTAAACATATACTTGAAAGCTTTTGGCCAGAAATACCCTCCCTGCATAAGATTTAGGGCTACAAAACCCAAGCTATTGTTTAGACATTGTTTCAGCTTGCCCCTGTGGAGTTATGGATTAAAAGTTTATCCTTGGCTAAACTTTGGGAGATGTTGGGCCTTTAAATGTTGGGAGACAGTAGGCCTTTAAAGACTAGGCCTAGTGTTAGGTCCTTAAGTCAGATTGTGGTATGTCCTCAAAGGGACTAGGGAAACACAGTCTCTCTGGCTTCCTGTTAGAGATAGGATCCCTTCATTTGATGCCTGAACCTGCTATACTATCTTCTGTTAGGCCCTCCCCAGAGGCAGAACAAATCAGACTGCCAGATCTTGGGCTTTGAGACTCCCAAACTGAGCCATATGGATCTCATTTTCATAAACAGCATACTAAGATTTTGGAGTTGGTATTTTCCATAGCACTCATCTCATCTTGACTGCTGATGGCACTACTCACTACTATGTAACAGAAAACGTCATCTCAAAAGCAATTTCCAATCAGGAGTTCTGAGGAACGAGGCAATGGGTTGGAGACTCTGCTGTTGAAGTACTTTCTTTTAGGCCTGGGTCCATCTTTATTATACTGGATACTCTGAAGGTCACTGCTATAGGTCAGGGCTAAATATCTCTCAATGAACAATGTGCTAAAAGTTTTGGTCTTCCAAAATAACAGCCTACAGAATGGGAAAAGATTTTCACCAACTCCACATCTGACAGAGGGCTAATTTCCAATATATATAAAGAACTCAAGAAACTAGACATCACCAAATAAAATTTAAAACTGGGGTACAGATCTAAACAGAGAATTCTCAACCGAGGGATCTCAAATGGCCAAGAAGCTCTTGAAGAACTGTTCAACATCCTTAGCCATCAGGGAAATGCAAATCCAAATGACTCTGAGATTCTATCTCA